ATTTATTAAGCTCTCTATGAACTCCGTTTCTTTCTTGTCTTTTTCTGTTTCTTTACCAAATACATATAACTCATCATGAAAATATTGTGCTTCCATTTACATAATGTGAGCCAGCTTTTCTTCCACGCTGTGTAGTAAAATTATGGTAGTATGTTTTTGCATCATTTTCTGTTGGAAAGCACAAGTATTACTCAATATTTATAAACTGAACTCGTTAGCAAGTGATTTCTCGTTTTCTTTGAAAACATGGCAGAACTACTCATCAATTATCACTGTTCATCCCGAGGTCATTGACGGGAGACCTGGAACAATTGTAATCGAGTCATTTGTAGTAGACATACCAGATGGGAATACTAAGGACGAAACATGCTTCTTTGTGGAGGCCCTCATCCGGTGTAACCTCAAATCGTTAGCTGATGTATCAGAGCGTTTGGCGGTGCAGGGCCATACCGAACCTATTGATAGAATGTAGCTTCACAGTTTTTACCAATGCAGCAGCGTGGGCTTATACGTTTTTGCTGCTGGAGCATACATGGATTTTGATTAGGTGAGTAGAGCGACTGGTATTATGATTGTCCTCCTCGATCTCAGACGAGTGTGTGTATATATATATTTTTTTGTTGATGCTTCCTTTTAATCATCTGAAGGTCACCTCTGTTCTTTAACATGCAACCAGATTATTCTTGCAATGGCTATTTCTCATTGTGAAGAACCAGTACTGATTCTGGCTGTGCAAGATATTGAGCCTTGTAAATATTTGCTACTGGATGAGCTTTTGTTGTCATAAGAATCATATCCTACTCTGCTGTGGCAAAGGCGTGCGTGCTATACACTCGTCTCGTCTAGAGGCTGATGTGCTAATAGTATTCCCTAGACTGTAACTGTGCCTTATTTTGTTTTTGTACTTGTACAAGAAAAAAGTTCCTTGTTTGTTGTTGTATCTTTCACCCTTCATGCTGTGTTGTATATGATTTCATGGTGCATTATTTGTTCCCAAGAACATGTGGATTTCTGAAGCAATTTGTATTTCCCTTCATTTCATCCCCTGTAAGAATGTGAAGGGAGACTTCCAAGAGCCAAGAATAACAAAAGATTACCTCTTTTCTTAGGGTGTTTTTGATACGAAGGAAAATATTTTCCAATTTTCTCATGTTTGATTAGTGTAAATATTTTCCAAATTAACTTATTTTCCTCAAATTTAAGGAAAATGACTGACCTTAAAAAAGTAAGGAAAACATTTTTCAAAATTACATTGAACCTCACACCTCAAGTTTCCATACTAACTTAAGTTTTGGTTATTGATTCCAAGTACTAATCCTAGATATGACTCCTGATTCTCAATTCGACTTTGGGCGTGCACAAGTAGATACTTAAATTTATATAAAATTAAATAAATAGACACACGCGTCTTACGTCTATGCCACGTAAGACACAAATTACCCTGTAGGATGCATGTGTATATTTGTTCCATTTTGTAAAGTTTAAGTGTCTACTAGTCTCACACCCAAAGTAAGAAGACATAGATATCAACTGAGATCAAGTTAAAGAGCATGTTTATGTATTGGGCCAATATAAAATGCTTCATTTCTTGCGGGCAAGTTGAAATTCTGCGGGCTAAAGACAAAACTCGTACCCTCGCTGCCCCCATCCACTTGCCATCCTTGTGAAAATGCTTTTCTTTCCCTAAGCTTATGTTGAAAAATGCTATGGTTAACTACTTTTTTTTTGTTGTTTTCCATGTTACATTAAGGGCCAAAAGAGAAGCTATTGTGATTTTGGGAAGAACACATATCAGAAAGTTACAAATGAGAGGCTTATTAGATGTGTATTATTTGAGAACAACAGAGCAACGTTTACGGAATCAACATAATTCAATGTTAAATAAAACATCTTCACTAGTATAAATAATAGCTTGCTCCCTCTAACATTCCTCACCAACATTCAAACACTAAAACATTAGTATCACTAGAAACATTCAGGTATAAAAAAAATGGCCTTGACATTCAATTGGAAGTTTGCTTTTGCAGCTCTACTAGTATTGGTTATGCAGGCTTCTCAAGCCACATCTCGCGATTTGTATGAAGCCTCAATTGTCAAGAAACACGAGCAGTGGATGGTACGCTTTGGGCGTGTGTACAAAGATGATGAAGAGAAGGCAAAAAGATTCAAAATATTCACGGATAACACTGAGTACATTGATTCTGTCAAGATGGCTGGCATCAAGCCTTACAAGTTGGACATCAATGAATTTGCTGATTTGACGAATGAGGAATTCAGAGCCACTCGTAATGGGTATAGAATGACTTCTCAAAAGAAATCCCCTGAAATCACATCATTCAAATACGAAAATGTAACTGCTCCAGCTACTATGGATTGGAGAATGAAGGGTGCTGTTACTGGAATTAAGAATCAAGGGCAGTGTGGTAAGTTAACTCATGGTTATATAACTGCCTTTTAAATATGAATCACTACTAGAAACAAAGCTTTTTCCTATCACGAATCAGTGGGAAATTTGTACTATACAACATGATTTTCCCGGTCATTTCCCATCGAATCAGGTGGGAAACAGATTCTCACTGAGATAGTGGGAAACTTCCTAATTTTTCCGTATGAAAACATACTATTTTTTCTTCTCTCATGGATTCAATCAAAATATCTGTGGGAATAGTCACTAAACATTTTTCAGTAGGAATCTGCAATATACTAAAAACTAATTGACCTTATTATATTATTTAGGATGTTGCTGGGCATTTTCTGCTGTTGCTGCCACAGAAGGAATCAACAAGATCAAAACTGGTAAGTTGATTTCTTTATCCGAGCAGGAACTCGTGGACTGTGACACGAGTTCGGATATGGGATGTGAAGGAGGTCTCATGGATGATGCATTTAAGTTTATCATCAAGAACCATGGGCTTACTACTGAATCCAATTACCCATACCAGGGAACGGATAGCACTTGCAAAACCGGAAAGGAATCAAGCCATGCTGCAAAGATTACTAGCTATGAAGATGTTCCAGCTAACAGTGAGCCTGCTCTACTAAAAGCTGTAGCTAACCAACCTGTATCTGTCGCGATTGATGCTAGTGGATCAGATTTTCAGTTCTATTCAAGCGGTGTTTTTACTGGAGAATGTGGAACTGAGTTAGATCACGGTGTTACAGCAGTTGGATATGGTGAAGCTAGTGATGGGACGAAGTATTGGTTAGTGAAGAACTCGTGGGGAACGAGTTGAGGTGAGAATGGTTACATTAGAATGCAAAGAAATGTTGATACTGAGGAAGGACTCTGCGGAATTGCAATGGAAGCTTCTTATCCAACTGCTTAAGTACAGAAATTATGAACTGGTCTTGTCTACATGTTCATAATTTAAGTGGTGCATCCAGAAGGATCGGACCAGGACTCTGTGTATGTTATAGGTTTGTTTATACAATTTGAAGTATTAAAACAAAAGCTTATATGTAAAACCACTGTCAATGTGATGAAATTATACTTTATTACCTTCCAATATATTTGTTTATACTCGATAGTCTCGAATCGTTTCTTCCTGTTTTTTATATTCACTGCATCAACCAAATAACTAATTGAATTTACTCACTTAGCCTACTGACTATCGTTCTTACGTTGTGTTTTTGTCTAATAAACTTATGACAGAGGTATCAGCTCATAGTCTAACAAACATATTGGTAACAGCTAATTGATAAATTTATCAGGGGTGTGAATAAGTGTACTTCAATCCGACCATCTTACTTACTTCGATCGGATGAGTCCTAGTGAGGGAATAATTAAGTCATGTGATCCCTTTGAATTCCATATTTGAAGTTGTGATCGGATCTATTCATTTAAAAGAGTCGATTCAATACATTTCTTATGTACCCATATGTGCTATGGGATTTGAATTAGATTTGGATCAATCTATATCGAGTAACTGCCACCATTATGGTTTTGCTAGCGAATACCACTATTTTGGTGTGGTTCTCTACACCTAGAACACCAAATGGAAAATGAGCATTTCCTGGTTCAAACATGCTGAATCTTGACTGAATCATCATTTATCAGGACTCTTTGGCTTAAGTTCTGCTAAAATGTCACACATCGGTAGAGGGATAGGAATTTGGTCTCCTTATATGGCCTTGGACAAACCTCCCCTCATGAGCTAGCTTTTAAGGTTGAGTTAGGCCCAAGTGTTATATCTTTACAAGTTCCTTCTTTAGTATTCATGAATTAATAGCAAGAAGTCGTATTTTATAGACTATAAAACAAGATAGTAATGTAGATAAAGACACAAGGATTTATCCTGGTTCGACCCAAACTAGTGGCCTACGTCGTCTAGTCTTCCTTGACATGGGAGGGATTTTCACTGTTATACACTTATTTCCCTCATTTATAATCAACGATTGATTTTAACATGATCAAGTGAGTATGGTTTTAAGCACAGTCACACAAACTACTATAATTATGATTTTCTACTCGTCCACTACCAACGGTTCAGATTGCCTGCATGTTCTATCACTCGAACACTAGGAATTTTTCAAAAGAAAGTGGTGAGGGTATTGTAACCTCTTAACACAACATGGTTTCCTATTGCAGTCAACATCCCTTCATTGGGATTGATTTGCTTTATTCCCTTTTATTATTTAGCCTTCAACTTTCCTTCAGTATAGTAATAAAGAATCGATTGTAATTTGCAATCAGGACAACATTATGGTCATGTACTCCACTGCTAAGATTATGGGAAGAAAAAATATCAGAAAGCTACAAATGAGAGGCTTATTAGTATATATCATTGGAGGACATCAGAGTAGCATGTACGGGGTCCATCTTCGTTGTCACAATCACATGTAGCATACCGGGCATTCCAGGGAACTCAATTTACCATGAGAAAATGTTAACATTAACAACACCTGAAGTCCTATATAAATTCCTTGCTCCTTCTTGAACTTTTCATCAACATTCAAACACACACATATTAGTATCACTACAAAGGTACGAGTAGCGAAAAATGGCCATGACATTTAATTGGAAGCTTGCTTTTGTAGCTCTTCTAGTGTTGGGAATGCAGGCTTCTCAAGCCACATCTCGCGGCTTGTATGAAACATCAATTGTCAAGAAACACGAGCAGTGGATGGCTCGCTTTGGGCGTGTGTACAAAGATGATGTAGAGAAGGCAAAAAGATTCAAAATTTTCAAGGACAACACTGAGTACATTGATTCCGTCAACATGGCTGGAATCAAGCCTTACAAGTTGGACGTCAATGAATTTTCTGATTTGACGAATGAGGAATTTAGAGCCACTCACAATGGGTATAGAATGCCTTCTCAAAAGAAATACCCTGAGATCACATCATTCAAATACGAAAACGTCACTGCTCCAGCTACTATGGATTGGAGATTGAAAGGTGCTGTTACTGGAATTAAGAATCAAGGGCAGTGTGGTAAGTTAAACCAATAACTCATGGTTATATAACCACCTTTTAAATATAAATCACTACTAGAAACAAAGGTTTTTCCTATCACGAATCAGTGGGAAATTTGTGATATAGAACATGATTTTCCCAGTCATTTCCCATCGAATTAGGTGGGGAACAGATTTTCATTGAGATAGTGGGAAACTTCCTAATTTTTCCGTATGAAAACATACTATTGTTTCTTCTCTCATGGATTCAATCAAAATATCTGTGGGAATAGTCACTAAACATTTTTCAGTAGGAAATTTCAGTTTGAAAATAGTGATTTTTAGTAGTGAATCTGCAATATAACTAAAAACTAATCGACTGTATTATAATATTGTAGGATGTTGCTGGGCATTTTCTGCTGTTGCTGCTACAGAAGGAATCAACAAGATCAAAACTGGTAAATTGATTTCTTTATCCGAGCAGGAACTCGTGGACTGTGACACAAGTTCTGATATGGGATGTGAAGGAGGTCTCATGGATGATGCATTTAAGTTTATCATCAAGAACCATGGGCTTACTACTGAATCCAATTACCCATACGAGGGAACGGATAACACTTGCAAAACCGGCAAGGAATCTAACCATGCTGCAAAGATTACTAGTTACGAAGATGTTCCAGCTAACAGTGAGTCTGCTCTACTAAAAGCTGTAGCTAACCAACCTGTATCTGTCGCGATTGATGCTAGTGGATCAGATTTTCAGTTCTACTCAAGTGGTGTTTTTACCGGAGAATGTGGAACTGAGTTAGATCACGGTGTTACAGCAGTTGGGTATGGCGAAGCTAGCGATGGGACGAAGTATTGGCTAGTGAAGAACTCGTGGGGAACGAGTTGGGGCGAGAATGGTTACATTAGAATGCAAAGAAATGTCGATACTGAGGAAGGACTCTGCGGAATTGCTATGGAAGCTTCTTATCCAACTGCTTAAGTATAGAAATTATGAACTGGTCTGCATGTTCATAATTTAAATGGTGTGTCCAGAACTCTGTGTATGTTATAGGTTTGTTTATACAATTTGAACTATTAAAACAAAAGCTTGAATGTAAAAACACTGTTAATATGATGAAATTATACTTTATTACCTTCCAATCTCTTTGTTTATACTCGACAATCTCAGATGGTTTCTTCCTGTTTTTGATATTCACTGCACCAGCCAAACAACTTATTGAATTTAGTACTCACTTAGCCTACTGACTATCGTTCTTACGTTGTGTTTTCGACTAATAAACTTATGACAGAAGTAACAGCTCAGAGTCTTACAAACTAATTGGTAACAGCCAATTCATAAATTTACCAGAGGAGGTTGAATAGGTGTACATCAATACGAACATCTATCTTACTTCAACTAGATGAGTCCTAGCAAGGGAATAATTAAGTCATTTGATCCTTTTGAATCCCATATTTGAAGTTGTGGTCGGATCTATTCATTTAAAAGAGTCGATTCAATACATTTCTTATGTACCCATAAGTGCTAAGGGATTTGAATTAGATCTATATCGAGTGACTGCCTCCATTATGTTGTTGCTAGCAAATACCACTATTTTTGGTGTGGTTCCTCTAGGCCTAGGACACCAGAATATTGAACTATGAATGAAGAGAAAAGCATTTCTGGTTCAAAAATGCCGAATCTTGTCTGTATCATTATTTATCAGGACTCTTTGGCTTAAGTCCCTCTTTTGGTATTCATGAATTAATTACAAGAAGTTGTATTTAACAGACTAAATAAATCAAGATAGTAATGTAGAAAAAGACACAAGGATTTATCCTGGTTCGACCCAAACTAGTGGCCTACGTCTAGTCTCCTTGACACACAACAGTTTTCCACTGCTATACACTTATTTCTCTCTGTTATAATCAACGAGTGATTTTCACATGATCAAATGAGTATCGTTTTAAGCACGGTCACACCAACGACTATAATGATGATTTTCTACTCGTTCACTACCAATTATTTGGATTCCCTACATGTTCTCTCACTCGAACACTAGGAATTTTACAAAAGAAAGTGATGAGAACCGCTTCATTCAATATGGTTTCATATTGCATTCAACATTCCTTCATTGCTGAGATTGATTTGTTCTCTTCCCCTTTATTATTTAACCTTCGACTTTCATTCAGTATAATAATATCCTTTTTCATGGTCCATGTCACGCTAATTGACAATAAAGAAGCGATTGTAATTTGCAAGTAGGACAACATTATGGTCATGCACTCCATTGCTAAGATTATGGGAAGAAAACATATCACAAAGCTACAAATGAGAGGCTTATTAGTATTTCCGGGGTCCATCTTCGCTGTCACAATCACAGATAGCATACCGGGCATTCCAGGGAACTCAATTACCATGAGAAAATGTTAACATTAACGACTACTATATAAATTCCTTGCTTCCTCTAAATTTTTCATCAACATTCAAACACACACATATTAGTTCACTACAAAGGTACGAGTAGCAAAAAATGGCCATCACATTTAATTGGAAGCTTGCTTTTGTAGCTCTTCTAGTGTTGGGAATGCAGGCTTCTCAAGCCACATCTCGCGGCTTGTATGAAACATCAATGGTCCAGAAACACGAGCAGTGGATGACACACTTTGGGCGAGTGTACAAAGATGATGTAGAGAAGGCAAAAAGATTCAACATATTCAAGGACAATACTAAGTACATTAATTCCGTCAACAAGGCTGGAATCAAGCCTTACAAATTGGACATCAACGAATTTGCTGATTTGACAAATGAGGAATTCAGAGCCACTCGTAACGGGTATAAAATGCCTTCTCAAAAGAAATCCCCTGAAATCACATCATTCAAATACGAAAATGTAACTGCTCCAGCTACCATGGATTGGAGATTGAAGGGTGCTGTTACTGGAATTAAGAATCAAGGGCAGTGTGGTAAGTTAAACCAATAACTCAAGGTTATATAACCGCCTTTTAAATATGAATCACTGCTAGAAACAAATGTTTTTCCCATCGCAAAGCAAAGGGAAACTTGTGTTATAGAACATAATTTTCCACTCATTTCCCATCGAACCAGGTGGGAAACAGATTCTCACAGCTGAGATAGTGGCAAACTTCCTAATTTTTTCGTATAAAAATATTACTATCTTATTCGATCAAAATATCTGCGGGAATAGCCACTAAACATTTTTCAGTGTGGAAATAGTGTTTTTTAGTAGTGAATCTGCAATACTAAAAACTAATCGACCTTACTTTAATATTGTAGGATGTTGCTGGGCCTTTTCTGCTGTTGCTGCTACAGAAGGAATCAACAAGATCAAAACTGGTAAATTGATTTCTTTATCCGAGCAGGAACTCGTGGACTGTGACACGAGTTCCGATATGGGATGTGAAGGAGGTCTCATGGATGATGCATTTAAGTTTATCATCAAGAACCATGGGCTTACTACTGAATCCAATTACCCATACGAGGGAACAGATGGAACTTGCAAAACCGGCAAGGAATCAAGCCATGCTGCAAAGATTACAAGTTACGAAGATGTTCCAGCTAACAGCGAGTCTGCTCTACTTAAAGCTGTAGCTAACCAACCTGTATCTGTCGCGATTGATGCTAGTGGGTCAGATTTTCAGTTCTATTCAAGTGGTGTTTTTACTGGAGAATGTGGAACTGAGTTAGATCACGGTGTTACAGCAGTTGGATATGGTGAAGCTAGCGATGGGACGAAGTATTGGTTAGTGAAAAACTCGTGGGGAACGAGTTGGGGTGAGAATGGTTACATTAGAATGCAAAGAAATGTTGATACTGAGGAAGGACTCTGTGGAATTGCTATGGAAGCTTCTTATCCAACTGCTTAAGTATAGAAATCATTAACTGGTGTACATGTTCATAATTTATGTGGTGTGTCCAAAACTCTGTGTATGTTATAGGCTTGTTTATACAATTTGAAGTACTAAAACAAAAGCTTTTATGTAAAAACACTGTTAATGTGTGATGAAATTATACTTTATTACCTTCCAATCTCTTTGTTTCTAAGTCATTTGATCCCTTTGAATTCCATATTTGGAGCCTCTACTATCAAAGTACGTGACTAGGACAAACCCCTAGCTCACGAAGCAAGTCTGAAACTGAAAGGAAATGAAAATAAAGTAACATAAGTACTGGCATGGCCCTCGGAACACGAGGACTCACCAATCTATCTCTACAGAATCAATCCACTAGCCATGTGCGTGTGAAGGAATGTCGAACACTATATTTTAAAACAATATAGGCACAATATGCATCAATACTTTGAATGTACTGAATAGGGGAACATACATAAAAATTCCAAGCATAAATCATGATAGGTAAGGTCAACACACTACTGTAGAGATCATGTCGTAAGTTCAAACCATATTTTATTGGGTACTCGCTTCTATTCTCCTTAAGTTCATGAACACTCGGCCTATCTTACGGTGACACGTAGTTTATGAAACATGGGTAATCACCGCTAATCCGCTTGGTGCTAATTAGTACAATTCCCCACGGAATTAATGCATTTTTCTTAAGAGTAGCTCTATAGACATCATAACTTGTTCATAAAGACACTTATCTAAGCTTTCAAATCATGATCATATTTCACATTAAGAATACTTCAATCGAAAGCAACCTAGTTCATTAGATATATAGCATAATTTTTTGACACGAAGTGTCATTACCACCCGTGGGACAAGGGTATGGCTTCGCCACTGCGCCTATATGTTCCTTTCCTTTTTCTTTTTGTATAACCTTAATGACATGTTTGAGTTAGTGTTCGATCATCATCACGACTTTTCCAAAAATAAACTTACTCGCACACAATTTTATACCAAATCACATTAGTTTATCACAGTTAAAGGGTATTTTGAGGTGATAATATATACTAATTAATAATGTGATAAAATTCAATTCATATATTCATTGATTTAATGTAAACATTCAATGTTCAAGTTATTTTTTCTCGTTTATAAATGTCCTCCACTAACCTTTTTACTTGACAAGTTTGGATTTTTCAGATCGTTTATGCCACTTCAAATTAAGAAAAGGAAGAATATTTGTTTTTACTAGGCGAGTTGGGTTGAAATGAGCTAAATGCAGGTTATAATCTAATTTGCTCAATTTTTACTAAGTTTTAATTGCTTTATTTGTTTTTTTTTATATAATTTTTTGTACCTAATAAAATAATTTCCCTCCTTATTTTGGCTATATATAATATCAAATAAACTAAATGTCTTTTAAAAATATTTCAACAAGATTTTTCATGGGTCAATTTGAATTACATATAATTCCAATTTGTTTATGAGCTGAAATTGATTGAACTAAAGTAGAATGAGTTAATAAATGGACAGATCAATAACTTGTCCATACTTGGATAGATCGGAGGGGTTATCGTTTCATGAGTTATTTTTTTCACCTCTATTAACGAATAAACAAAGAGTCGTTGATTGTGGTGCGAAATATAAATAGAAAACACTCATTGATACATAGGGATGACAATGGGGAGGTGCGGCGTGGGATGGGGCGGATTGAGCTTAACCCGTAAAATTTTTAATCCGCCCCGCCCCGCATAACAACTTTTTTCATTTTCAACCCATCCCACCCTGCCTCACATTAACCTTCCCCGCATAACTTTTTTAATATTTTCTTTTTCTAGTTAAGTTTGCTACTAAAAGTAAAATTCATAAAAATAATTTCTTTTTTCATTAAGTTTTATTAATTTAACAGGATATTGACTTAAAAATTTATTTTTTAGATGTCAATTGGAAAACATGTAAGAAATTGTATTCTTTTTTATTAAACCATTTTCATTTACTATCTTGAATATTTTAGTAGATTTATAAAAATTATCTTAATAAATAATGGTCTATCACTCTTATAACATGTAAAAACTTAAAATTAAATTTGAACCCACATAAAATCACATATACCCGCAACCCGCCCCGCCCTGCATTAATTTTAAAAAATCCTACT